AAGGCATTTACTTAAAATAACTCGCACAATGCTCTTTAAAGCAAACATGCCGGCTAAATTTTGGGTAGGTGCTATGTGTACTGCCACATTTATCATTAATCGGCTTCCTACTCCAAATTTTAATGTCACTTCTGCCAACAAACTCTTTCCCAGATCCACTTTATGTGTATTTTTAGGATATGCCCCTGAATACAACGGTTATCGTTGTCTCAATTCTATCACTGACAAGATTTACATAAATTGGAATGTGCATTTGATGAAGACTATTTTCCTTATTCCGACTTAACGTTGTCACGCCCCGGGCCTATCCGGACACGTCAACAATCCGCCGTACAGTACGAATAGTCAACCGCAGTCCAACACATTCATACTATACAAGGCGTCTGGGATATCATTCACACATAGTACATCCATAAACAAACATAATGTAAAATATTCTGTAACACTTCAGATTTAATATAAACGGATTAATAGTACTACTCATACCAACAAGATGCATCTCCTTTTAAGGGAGCTCATCCGCTAAGAACTCTAAAGTTAAGCGTGCTTGCACGGGAGTAGTCTTGGGATGGGTGACCCCCTGGGAAGTTTCTCAGGGCGTGCATGAGTGAGGACAAAGTGCGCGGTAAAGGCTAGTGGCGGTTTGTGGGGACAGTACTAGAGGTCTGGAGTAACTACCTTGGGTCCTACGGGGCCGGGGTGTTACAGGTGGTATCAGAGCAACCCCGCGACAGTGTGATGACTCGTTGGATATCGGGCGGGCACTTAGCGGGGGAAGATTCTATGATTTGATTGAGATTTGAGATTTGAGATTGGTTTAAGGGCGCAACGAGGACGTTGCGATCCTAAGTGGGGGTGATTGTAACACTTCAGATTTAATATAAACGGATTAATAGTACTACTCATACCAACAAGATGCATCTCCTTTTAAGGGAGCTCATCCGCTAAGAACTCTAAAGTTAAGCGTGCTTGCACGGGAGTAGTCTTGGGATGGGTGACCCCCTGGGAAGTTTCTCAGGGCGTGCATGAGTGAGGACAAAGTGCGCGGTAAAGGCTAGTGGCGGTTTGTGGGGACAGTACTAGAGGTCTGGAGTAACTACCTCGGGGCCTGCGGGGCCGGGGTGTTACATATTCATTCAAAACAGCGGAAACGTTTGATACAAGTGTTCAAGACTTCATGCCACACTTGGCGAAACATGGGCATACAAGTCATCAAATAATTATTCAAAAGATAACATCCATGAGCATTAATTTAAATGATTTTAAAACAGGAACGGAGGAAGCACGAACCACGTCTTCTTCTCCTGAATTCTCTTGGAGCAACGGCGATGGTAGCAACCTTCAAGTTCTACCTGAAACTGTGAGGTGGCCTCCCCCGTGAAGGGGAGGTCAGTACTTGGAAGCATTTGACAAGTACAATGACAACTATACTAAGTATAATCAAAGTTTCAATTTCCAAGACCCTCAATCTAAGATGTTATTCATTTGAAATTTATTTATGTTCCTTCATGCTAGAGCTCGGCTCATAGTCATGTTAATTTGTGCTAGAGCTCGGCTCATAGTCACACCACATTTCGCTAGAGCTCGGCTCATAGTCATTCCTACATTTTTGTGCTAGAGCTCGGCTCATAGTCACACTACATTTTGCTAGAGCTCGGCTCATAGTCATTCCTACATTTTTGCTAGAGCTCGGCTCATAGTCATACTACCACGTGCTAGAGCTCGGCTCGTAGTCACGTCATCTAATCCCTAAACCACTTCTTAGTCTAGGCTCCATTCCTTTTGAGTAACCCTTGAGGTCTACTCCTAACATAACTTGACTTCGTAAAGTCCACCCTAATTATCCTTTAAGGTTACTTAGCTTCAATATCTTGGGATTAGCTCCCAAGCACTATTGAACTAACATCCCCGACTAGTCTTCAATACTAGTCGTCTAATCTTAATAAGCCAACGCCAATTTCATAATAATTCATACATTTCAATTTAATTTCACATTCAAGTATAACTTGATTCAATATCAAAATATCACTTTTATTCCCTTCATGAGGTAAAAGCATATTTATCACCATACAATTTTATAACTTACACCACAATTGGGTCATTATAATCACAACACATAATCATACACAATTTATTCTTAAATTTGTATATTATGCATTTTCTTTATGAACAATACTATATTCCATTTTAGGCATTCTTAATCATAAATAACTCATGCCAAACACATATAATTCATTTAGGCAATCTTATGAAATTAACCCAATAATTATAAACAATATAGTCGGTCATCCTCACCTTAAGTGAGCTTAAGCGTGTTCTACGCTCCGCGGTTGAACTTTGACTATTTCCGGTGAACTTTGACCAACTCCGGCTAACTTTGACCAACTCCGGCGAAACTCCGGCGAAGCCCAAAGATACTCTAAATCAAGTTCCTAACAAGGTTTTAACATCATAAAACCTTAATCAATACACATAACCCTTAAAAGGTTATTTTCCGGTGAACTTGTCGGTTTGGCTCCTAAGTCCGTTTTTGGACTTAGAACCCCCTTCCAACCCATCATTCTACACTTAACTCATGTGGAACAATCATAGGGTTTTTTCCAAATTTCTCAAATAACAATATATTCAAGAAAAAGAGAAGAGAAGAGTAGATGAAGTCATTACCTAGCTTTTTCTCAAGTTTTGTACACTTTAGACCTTAAACTTTTTCCCTGGAGCTTCCTCCTTGTTGGAACTTCCTTCAACAATGGTGAGAGGTTTTTGAGAGCTCCTTCCTCTTGCTGGATGGGTGTTTGGCCGAAATGATCAAGGGACAAGGGGTGGGTGAGCCTTTTTGTCTCAATAGTATGAGTGGAGTGTGGGAGAGGCCCACCTTATTTGTTTGATGCCTTTCCCCTCACTTCACACTCCTCTCCTATCCCCTCCACACTCCTCCAGCCGGCCAAGGCCTTGAAATGTGTGTCCAATTTCGTGGGTTGGCCCCCACCCATGTGGGAGGTCAACCCTTTTTGTCCAGAAGTGTACACTTTGTCCCGAAAGTTGTATTTTTCGGACCATTTAAAATATGTTTTATTTTATCGGGTCAAATAAAATATATTATGTGCTCTCCATCATTAAGACTCTTATGATGAATATTCATACCCCAACTTTAATTTATAAGTCCCCGAAATTCAATTTCGGGCTTTTATCGGTTAAATTGCCAATACCGGTATTTAGGCCTCTTTGACCAATCGGTCAACTCCGGACCTTTCCATGGCTCAAATGAGTTATCCTCCACCATATAAATATTATCTAGACCGAGATGGATAGTTTATGTAGTCCCGGGAATATTGGGCGGCCCCCGCTCCCGGTGCGGGCCCCACGTGCGAATTTACTATTCACGCAAAATAATTAATAAAAATCCATAACATTGTAAACTCATTAACCATTCCACAAGGTTACATACAATATTATTCACTTAAAAGTAAATACGTTTGGGGACGGTGTTACAAGTTCACCCCCCCTTATTTGGGATTTCGTCCCCGAAATCCATGTGTCTAATCGAAAAGAAACGGGTATTGCTCCCTCATTGAGACCTCGGTCTCCCAGGTTTCTTCTTCGACTCGATCACTCCTCCAAAGAACCTTTACCATAGGAATCTCTTTGTTCCTCAATTTCTTCACCTGTTGACCCACAACCTTTACCGGTTCCACTGCATATTGTAGATCTTCACGTATCTCCACCGGTGGCTTCTCAAGAATATGAGATGGATCTCTCACGTATTTCTTGAGCATCGATACATGAAACACGTCGTGTATCTTCTCAAGTTCCGGCGTCAGCTTGAGACGGTAAGCCACCGCCCCAATCCTTTCAAGGATTTCAAACGGACCAATGTATCGGGGGTTGAGTTTTCCCCTCGATATAAATCGGATGATACCCTTCCAAGGAGAAATTCTTAGGAAGACCTTATCACCGACCTCGAACTCCAATGGCCTGCGTCGTTTGTCGGCATAGCTCTTCTGCCGATCTTGGGCAGTCTTGAGTCTATCCTGAATGACTTTCACTTTAGTCTTGGTGATTTCAACAAGTTCAATCCCTTCGAGCTTGGCCTCGCCAACCTCGTCCCAACATAACGGTGTTCTGCATTTCCTCCCATACAATGCCTCGTATGGAGGCATGCCAATACTCGCCTGATAACTATTGTTATAGGCAAACTCTACTAGAGCCAAATGCTTGTCCCAACTTCCTTGGAACTCCAGAGCACATGCCCTAAGCATATCTTCCAGAATCTGTATCACCCTCTCAGATTGTCCATCCGTCTGTGGATGGAAAGCTGTGCTAAACTTCAGTTTAGTACCCAAAGATGCTTGAAACTTGGGCCAAAATCGAGATGTGAATCGTGGATCCCTATCCGAGACAATGGATATCGGGACTCCATGTAGTCTCACAATCTCCTCCGTGTATAGCTTTGCCAATCTCTCAAGAGGATAAGTAATGTTGATAGGCAAAAAGTGTGCACTCTTGGTGAGCCTATCAACCACTACCCATACTGCATCATAGTTGTTCACTGTTCGTGGTAGCCCCACCACGAAGTCCATGGTCACATGCTCCCACTTCCATTCTGGAATGGTTAGTGGCTGCAAAAGCCCCGCCGGGTGCTGATGCTCTGCCTTAACTTGTTGGCAAGTAAGGCATCGACTCACGTACTCTGCGATATCCCTCTTCATACCCGACCACCAGTAACTTTCCTTCAAGTCTCGGTACATTTTAGTACCTCCTGGATGCATAGCATATGCCGAAGAGTGAGCCTCCTCCAGGATAGACTTTTGGAGCTCTTCACTCTTTGGTATGCACACACGGTCTTTAAACAATAAAAGACCGTCATCACGTACCCGAAAGTTCTCCACGGGCCCTTCGAGGATCCTCTCGCGGATTGTCACACTCTAAAATTTTAAAATAAATTAAAATATAATATTAAAATATAATAAATAATAATAACAATAACAATGATAATAAGTGTACACTACGTTTTACGAATATGCATGGAAATTTCTAAGTGCCTTAAAAATGTTAACATTCGATTGCGTACTCTCATAACCAATATAAAAATTGTAGCTTTGACTTTTCTATATACTACAACCTATATTATTATACACCTAATTACTAAGTATACGTTCCAGATCAGAATAGATGGCAACTTTCCATATTACATCAGAACGGCTGCATGGTCCTGCTGGTTTACTACGTGCGAATTGCATACATAACATATATATGTATTCGCCGCTTAACGGGAATATCTTTAACGAAGGAAAGTTAATAAAACTGAATTAAATGACAATAGGCTAGAATCTTCTCCTTGTGAATATATATAGTCTGCTACCGATGTTCTGTTCTGGGTACAAAACAACCATAGAAAGCTTAGCGCCTTTCAAAGTACGAGAAAAAAAAATGAGTACACCTGGCCGGAGTTCTTGCCGGACCGTTTTGCACGCCGGAGAAGGAAGAGAAGACCGCCGTTCTGCGTCGCCACTATCTGTTCACACACATCGCCGCCGTCCTTCCTCACTGTTTTGACGAGATTAGAGTGCCGGAGCGAGGATCATCGCGGCAAAAGTCGATCCTTGATCGTCCTTGTTCGCCGACTGTGGAAGAAGAGAACAGTACGTAAACTTAGTTGTACTCTGTGTTAGACCTGGGCTGGCTGATTGGACTGATCACCATAATAATAATAATAATAATAATAATAATAATAATAATAATAATAATAATAATAAGCATCATGATAGTGAGGATGAAGGTAAATTATTAAACAGAATGATCAAACGAAAATGATAAAGTTAATATTGGGTTACTTTAATTTGTCACTTTTACTTAATTTGCTATTATAATTAGACTTGTCTATAATGGATGAATGGATATATCAACCGATGACAATGAATAAACTTTAAATATATCAATCAGGTATAAATAAATCATCATATAAACAAATTAATTGTGATTAAATTATGGAAACATAAAAGTGAGATCTATAAGAGGGTGAATTTATAAATAAAGGGTACGGTAGATGAGTTTTACCAAGTTAAAAGAATATTGATGTTTGAATTCTAATAGAAGGTGATTTGGCCGATGAGCAAAGTAGAGGATTTAACTATGAGTATTGGAGATTGAGGTAAGTTTCATTGCAACCAAAATTATACCTTTTACCTCGTAATTATTTTGAATGTTTTAATGTACAATTTGAGTAATGTATTTATGTGTATTGAATTTGAGTAAATGTTATTCTATATGAAGTTGTTTGTACTTGATATATTGGTTTGTTATTATTGGATTTTGATACAAGTTATTGTATATGATTTTTGGGAGATTTTCTACTAGTGAATATTTTGGGTGTTGTTGTGAGTAAATTGAATTTTGAGAAAAAATATGGGAATTTTAGCGTATTTTGAAAGATACGAACTTTTGATTGGATTTTGAGAAAACACAGAAAAGTTAATATTTTTAATGGTGACACTAATGTCTATAAGACATAAATATTGATTTTTGGAAAGACAAGATAAAAGATTGTTTTCATAATTGGGGCACCACGGGAGAAATCCGTAGGTGTCGGGCCACCTTCACGTCCGTTAATGGTGAGGGAGGGTTAGGACTACTACTACTTGAATCAAGAGGTGTGAAACAAATTAAATGAATTTTGGAGGGTTCGGTAACCACCCCGAACAACTGGGCATTAGATCCCATTTATTAAAGCAGTAGTAGTAGTACCTATTCTCTTAAGGGTCTTTGAACCTAGAACTTAGGGAGTATATCCCATTTTGAGTAGGGAGACGTTGACGTCAGAACTACTTAGACTTCATACTACTCGGAGGGCTTGGAATCCCTTTAGGGGGTGTGCACACTTAAGGTAGAAGTCTAGATTCTAATAGAGGAGATGTGGTACCGAGAGCAGATCGGAGTGACCGTACAAAACAACGGATCACTGGGCTCAAGAATCGAGATAACGCTTGAGCACCGCCCTTCTAAATGAACTAGGAGAATTAGCTATAAAGCTATTTTGAGGTAAATCAAATGTTTTGGTATTTTATAAATTGTGAATTTCGTAAGTACAAATACTGGTGATATTGGTTTGAAAAACATATTTGTGGATATTGATTATGTGTTTTGTAAGGATTGTGATAAAGTGATTAAGTGAGTTTTGAGATGGATATTTGGAGTTGTGTATATGATATATGCTTTGGAATATTTATGAGAGTTTTTATTACATTTTCTAATGTTGGAATTATTATTATTTTACATATGAGGATTTATTATAAATATTGTTTTACTTATGATTGGTATGAATGTTTTGAAAAGATTTTCCTCCCAAATCTTTTGCAAAAATTATATATATGTATCAAACGTGATTATTTTACGGGGTTGGGTGGGACTTACTTAGCATTTCCGGCTAATTTTTGTTTCTTGTTTTTCTTTCTTTTTCTGCACCTTATTTGTGCAGGAGATAAAGCTTGAGTATCTATTTGCTGACGATGTTGATTCGAGAGAGATTCCGCTAGAACACCTAATTAGTAAATCATTGTAATTCAATTTTTCAATATCTTTAGTTAGTGAATATCTGTTTTTGGAGTTAAGTTGTTTTAGCCTGTGCACTCGGTTAGGGGAGAGCCGAGTGTGGCGGTAACGCCCCTATTTCCCTTTTGGTTTTCGCTGCATAACTCTGATGTTTTTCAAATAAAGTTGATATTTCTTTTGAATAAAGTATTATTTTCGGGTGGGAAATTTGGGGGTGTTACAAGTTGGTATCAGAGCTTTTGGTATCTTTTTTTTTGGGGGGGATTTTCTAAATGTTTTTTTTTACAAAAAGGTTTTTTTTAAACAATTTTTTTTCAAAATTTTACTAAGGTTTCTTAAACTTCATTTATGAGATTCCAACAAATTTTCGAAAAGTTTTATAAAACCGATACCGTTTTTCTAAATCAATTCTAAAGAAAATGAACGTAGGATTATAATAATTTGATTGTGGTGTAAAATGGAATTTTAGGATCGCGGTGAGGTCGTGAGATTTCTTGATTTTGTTTTCTTGGTATTCATTTGCTAGTTTTGTTGTTTTAGAATAGGTGCTTTTATGGTCTCTAGGAGATGTTAGTAAAGTTTCTATAGGATATCAATACACTTTGAAATATTTTAGGATTTATGCTTCGGGGACGAAGCATCCTTTAGGGGTTAGTAAGTAACACTAATTTTTTAAAAAATATATAGAATTCTAATATTTTGTAGGAGAGATTGGGTAAGTCTAGGGAGGAACTCTAGGACATTGGTATTTCCTAAATCGTGTAAAGGGTAGAACAAGATTATATTATTTGTTAACCACTTTTAAGATTATGCTTCGGGGACGAAGCATCTTTTAAGGGGGATATATTGTCACACTCTAAAATTTTAAAATAAGTTAAAATATAATATTAAAATATAATAAATAATAATAACAATAACAATGATAATAAGTGTACACTACGTTTTACGAATATGCATGGAAATTTCTAAGTGCCTTAAAAATGTTAACATTCGATTGCGTACTCTCATAACCAATATAAAAATTGTAGCTTTGACTTTTCTATATACTACAACCTATATTATTATACACCTAATTACTAAGTATACGTTCCAGATCAGAATAGATGGCAACTTTCCATATTACATCAGAACGGCTGCATGGTCCTGCTGGTTTACTACGTGCGAATTGCATACATAACATATATATGTATTCGCCGCTTAACGGGAATATCTTTAACGAAGGAAAGTTAATAAAACTGAATTAAATGACAATAGGCTAGAATCTTCTCCTTGTGAATATATATAGTCTGCTACCGATGTTCTGTTCTGGGTACAAAACAACCATAGAAAGCTTAGCGCCTTTCAAAGTACGAGAAAAAAAAATGAGTACACCTGGCCGGAGTTCTTGCCGGACCGTTTTGCACGCCGGAGAAGGAAGAGAAGACCGCCGTTCTGCGTCGCCACTATCTGTTCACACACATCGCCGCCGTCCTTCCTCACTGTTTTGACGAGATTAGAGTGCCGGAGCGAGGATCATCGCGGCAAAAGTCGATCCTTGATCGTCCTTGTTCGCCGACTGTGGAAGAAGAGAACAGTACGTAAACTTAGTTGTACTCTGTGTTAGACCTGGGCTGGCTGATTGGACTGATCACCATAATAATAATAATAATAATAATAATAATAATAATAATAATAATAATAATAATAATAATAAGCATCATGATAGTGAGGATGAAGGTAAATTATTAAACAGAATGATCAAACGAAAATGATAAAGTTAATATTGGGTTACTTTAATTTGTCACTTTTACTTAATTTGCTATTATAATTAGACTTGTCTATAATGGATGAATGGATATATCAACCGATGACAATGAATAAACTTTAAATATATCAATCAGGTATAAATAAATCATCATATAAACAAATTAATTGTGATTAAATTATGGAAACATAAAAGTGAGATCTATAAGAGGGTGAATTTATAAATAAAGGGTACGGTAGATGAGTTTTACCAAGTTAAAAGAATATTGATGTTTGAATTCTAATAGAAGGTGATTTGGCCGATGAGCAAAGTAGAGGATTTAACTATGAGTATTGGAGATTGAGGTAAGTTTCATTGCAACCAAAATTATACCTTTTACCTCGTAATTATTTTGAATGTTTTAATGTACAATTTGAGTAATGTATTTATGTGTATTGAATTTGAGTAAATGTTATTCTATATGAAGTTGTTTGTACTTGATATATTGGTTTGTTATTATTGGATTTTGATACAAGTTATTGTATATGATTTTTGGGAGATTTTCTACTAGTGAATATTTTGGGTGTTGTTGTGAGTAAATTGAATTTTGAGAAAAAATATGGGAATTTTAGCGTATTTTGAAAGATACGAACTTTTGATTGGATTTTGAGAAAACACAGAAAAGTTAATATTTTTAATGGTGACACTAATGTCTATAAGACATAAATATTGATTTTTGGAAAGACAAGATAAAAGATTGTTTTCATAATTGGGGCACCACGGGAGAAATCCGTAGGTGTCGGGCCACCTTCACGTCCGTTAATGGTGAGGGAGGGTTAGGACTACTACTACTTGAATCAAGAGGTGTGAAACAAATTAAATGAATTTTGGAGGGTTCGGTAACCACCCCGAACAACTGGGCATTAGATCCCATTTATTAAAGCAGTAGTAGTAGTACCTATTCTCTTAAGGGTCTTTGAACCTAGAACTTAGGGAGTATATCCCATTTTGAGTAGGGAGACGTTGACGTCAGAACTACTTAGACTTCATACTACTCGGAGGGCTTGGAATCCCTTTAGGGGGTGTGCACACTTAAGGTAGAAGTCTAGATTCTAATAGAGGAGATGTGGTACCGAGAGCAGATCGGAGTGACCGTACAAAACAACGGATCACTGGGCTCAAGAATCGAGATAACGCTTGAGCACCGCCCTTCTAAATGAACTAGGAGAATTAGCTATAAAGCTATTTTGAGGTAAATCAAATGTTTTGGTATTTTATAAATTGTGAATTTCGTAAGTACAAATACTGGTGATATTGGTTTGAAAAACATATTTGTGGATATTGATTATGTGTTTTGTAAGGATTGTGATAAAGTGATTAAGTGAGTTTTGAGATGGATATTTGGAGTTGTGTATATGATATATGCTTTGGAATATTTATGAGAGTTTTTATTACATTTTCTAATGTTGGAATTATTATTATTTTACATATGAGGATTTATTATAAATATTGTTTTACTTATGATTGGTATGAATGTTTTGAAAAGATTTTCCTCCCAAATCTTTTGCAAAAATTATATATATGTATCAAACGTGATTATTTTACGGGGTTGGGTGGGACTTACTTAGCATTTCCGGCTAATTTTTGTTTCTTGTTTTTCTTTCTTTTTCTGCACCTTATTTGTGCAGGAGATAAAGCTTGAGTATCTATTTGCTGACGATGTTGATTCGAGAGAGATTCCGCTAGAACACCTAATTAGTAAATCATTGTAATTCAATTTTTCAATATCTTTAGTTAGTGAATATCTGTTTTTGGAGTTAAGTTGTTTTAGCCTGTGCACTCGGTTAGGGGAGAGCCGAGTGTGGCGGTAACGCCCCTATTTCCCTTTTGGTTTTCGCTGCATAACTCTGATGTTTTTCAAATAAAGTTGATATTTCTTTTGAATAAAGTATTATTTTCGGGTGGGAAATTTGGGGGTGTTACAAGTCTTCTGGCATTCATCATCAGTGGCCTGACATATACTGATCTCACTCAGCAATGTGGGCCTAACCTCGAATCTAGCAATGAGGACCCCACTCGTGGACATCTCCACTTGTGCCCTCAAAGTTCTTAGACATGTGAGTAATGTCCCCGACGTACTTTTCCTGCTCAGTGCATCGGCCACTACATTGGCTTTTCCGGGATGATAGTCGATGATCAAGTCATAATCCTTGATCAACTCCATCCATCTCCTTTGTCTCATGTTCAACTCTTTCTGAGTGAATACGTACTTCAAGCTCTTATGATCGGTAAAAATGTGACATGTTTCCCCATAGAGGTAATGCCTCCAAATCTTTAGTGCAAACACTACCGCCCCCAACTCTAGATCGTGGGTAGGGTAGTTCGCCTCGTGTTTCTTCAATTGCCTAGAAGCATAGGCAATCACCCGACCGTTTTGCATCAGTACACATCCAAGCCCTTGGATGCTAGCATCACTGTAGATATCATACCCTATCCCCTGTATAGGTAGGGCTAGTACTGGTGCTTCGGTAAGTCGTTTCTTCAGTTCAAGGAACCCTTTCTCACACTTGTCGTCCCATATGAACTTGGCCCCTTTCTTTGTGAGCTTCGTTAATGGAGACGCCAATACGGAGAATTTTTCCACAAATTTACGATAGTATCCCGCTAAGCCAAGGAAACTACGTATCTCTTTCACATTCTTGGGTCTCTCCCAATCCATAATAGCTTTAATCTTGGCGTTGTCCACGGCAACGCCCGAACCGGATATGACATGACCGAGGAAACCGATCTCTTTGAGCCAAAATTCGCATTTTGAGAACTTGGCAAAGAGTTGCTTTTCCCTTAACCGATCAAGTACAAACCTCAAATGGTGTTCGTGCTCCTCCTCGCTCTTGGAGTATATCAAGATGTCGTCAATGAATACTATCACGAATTGATCTAAGTATTCACTAAACACACGGTTCATCAAGTCCATGAATGCCGCCGGTGCGTTGGTTAAACCAAACGACATCACAAGGAATTCGTAATGACCATATCTAGTGCGAAATGCACTCTTAGGTATGTCACTCTCCTTGATCTTCAACTGATGATACCCCGACCTCAAGTCAATCTTCGAGAACACTATTGCCCCTCGAAGTTGGTCGAACAAGTCATCAATCCTCGGTAAGGGATACCTGTTCTTGATGGTGACCTTGTTCAACTGTCGGTAGTCAATACACATTCTTAGTGTACCATCTTTCTTCTTTACGAATAGTACGGGTGCTCCCCACGGTGAATGACTGGGTCTGATGAACCCGTTGTCCAATAGTTCTTGTAGTTGGACCTTCAACTCTTGAAGTTCGGCCGGTGCCATTCGATAAGGAGGAATCGAAATGGGTTTGGTTCCCGGCTCCACTTCGATTACAAATTCAATCTCTCTATCGGGTGGAAGCCCCGGTAGGTCCTTGGGAAAGACGTCCGGGTACTTGCACACGACTCGAACATCCTTGATGTCGACTTCTTTCTTCGTATCATCTACCACGTAAGCAAGGTATGCGTGGCACCCTTTTCTCATCATCTTCCGTGTTCTCATCACGGATATGATGCAAACATTTGATTTCCCCCGATCTCCTTCGAAACATAGCGTGTTTCCTTGATCATCCTCGAGCTCCAACACCTTGGTGTAGCAATCTACTCGAGCATGGTGCTTCTCAAGCCAATCCATTCCTAGGATTGCATCGAACTCCAACATGCTTAGAGGTACGAAATCACAAGTCAAGGGTTGACCCGTCACTTCCACCTCACATGATGGATAGTAATGATTTCTCTCCACATCGTCCCCTAACGGTGTGGAGACTAGCAACGTTTGCGTCATAGGTGTCAATGGCACGTCAAGTCCCTCGGCGAACGCCTCACTCACAAATGAGCGTTGTGCCCCGGTATCGATGAGGATCCTCGCACACCTACCATTGATCTTTAATGTTCCTACATTTATACACCATGTAAGATACATTTTCTAATGTTTTTACACATCTTTAGGAGGTTATTAAGTCAATACTAAGGTTTGGAATCAAACGGGGGTCCAAACGTAGAAGAACGGGGTGAAAAAATCAATTTTCGGGGGTTGGGGGTCCACGCACGGCGTGCCTGGGTGGCACGCACGACCGTGCGTGCAACGAACTTACTCTGCGTGCCACTGCCGGCCAGGCACGATGCCAGGCACGGCGTGCCTACGGCCGTGCCTGGCCAAAAATACTCCGGACGCTACTGCCTTCCAGGCACGACTCCAGGCACGGCGTGCCTGCGGCCGTGCCTGGCCCAAAATTTTTTTTTTTTTTTTTCTTTCCTTCGGGTGCCACTGCCTTCCAGACACGGTGCCAGGCACGGCGTGCCTGCGACCGTGCCTGGCCAAAAAAATCTTCCGGTTGCCACTGCCTTCCAGGCACGATGCCAGGCACGGCGTGCCTGCGAGCGTGCCTGGCCGGCAGTGGCTGTTTCCAGCTGATTTGGCCTAACTTGCCCGGTTTTGACCCCGGGGTGGCCCGCACTCAATCCCTACGACGTATATGATCAATGCAAGCCTAGAAATACATGGGAATACGTGTATTACCTGCAACGGAGTCGGGATTGGCCCGAGCATCGGCCTCGGTCATTGCGTAGACTCTAGCTTGCGTCCTTCCTTGATTCACGGACGGCGCGTTGCTGGCGCTCGCTCCCCCCTGCCCCGTACTAGCATGGGGTGCTCTGGTCCGACTCCTACTTGCCGTAGTAGCGCCGCTTGATCCCGCCCCTCGGTTTCCACCAAGTTGAGGGCAATTTGGTTTAAGATGCCCCGTGTCTCCACATTGGTAGCACCGAGGAGGGTCACGACACTTACCGGCGTGGCTCCTGTTGCAATTTCGGCACCTGGGCGCTGTCGAGGCTTGTGAGCCCGAGTTGTGCCCGCCGAAAGCCGAGTTTCCCTTGGATGGCGGCGCCGGTGCCCTGAACGATCCTCCTCCCCCGTGGTTCCCTTTTTTGTTAGAACCTTGTGGGCCATGGCTTTCCCACTTCCTCTTCTTCGCCTCCTCGGCGTTCCTCCGCTTTCTTTCCTCCCACTCCTTCTCTCCCTTCAGGCCCTGTTCAACCACTTGACTAAACGTCATATTAGGCAATTGTGTTGCCCTCTCGCGTATGTCAAGGTCTAAGGCATCCCAGAAGTGGTTCACCATCCGGTTCTCATCACATATGTACTCCGGTATGAATTCGGCAAGCTTTCTGAACTTGTGCTCAAGTTCCTTCACCGTACATGTGCCTCCCTGTGTCAAGTTCGTATACTCCCTCCTCTTCATGTTTACCTCGAAGTCGGAGTAGTATTGGTTGAAGAACTCCTGCCGAAAGTTCTCCCATGTGACGGCTTCGCCGTATTTTCCTTTGACCCCGTCCCACCACGTGGACGCCATGCCTTCGAGCAATCTTGTTGCCACCCTCAATTTCATGATGGGTGGCAGCTGCATGTCAAGGGCCGCCTCGTTGAATCTTTTGATCCATTCGGCTGCAACGGAGATGTCTCCCGTTCCATCAAACGGTTTACATCCCAAATCTCGTGCCTCTTTGATAAATTTGGAGATCCTTATGGTTGGACCTCCCACATCTTGGCCTCCATGTGGTTCAACATGGACTCTAGAAGCACCTTGGCTTCCTCCTCTCGAAGCCATGCCCGAAGGTTGCCCCGTTCGGCGCCTTCGACATTGTCTCCTCTCTTCGCGCTCCCGGTGGTATTGTTGGAGCAGCGCCTCGATCCTCCCAAGAGTGCCATCGTCTTCACTCTCTTCACTCACACCGTCATCTTCCCCATCATATGGGGTTTCCACCGGCTCGGTTTCCGGCCTATAGGTTGAGTCCTCATAGGACCAATAAGTCTCACTCTCGGTGTCCACGTGGCCATCGCTCACGGTTTGTTGTTGGCCTCCACGGCCCCTTCCCCTGGACACCCTAGCGGACCCCCGGCTGCCGCGTTCGGACCCACCCGGTACACGGCCCGTCGGGTTCCTCCTAGTGATCCTTCCAATTGGCTCCATTTCTGAAAGAAGTTTAGAATGGGCCGTTAGACTCGTATCAAATGTCAAGTGACGGATAGGTACTTAAGGACATCTTTTGGCTCAAATCACCGCCATGCCAATTGTTAAGGGTACCATCTTAACAATTAGAGACTTTGCAACTCAAGTACCAAAAGTTCTATAAGTACAAAACTTTATGCTCATGGTTTTCAAATTCTTTTTCAAAAGGAATTTTGAAGCTTCATTATGAAGTTTACGGACTAAGGCTCTGATACCAATTAAATTGTCACGCCCCGGGCCTATCCGGACACGTCAACAATCCGCCGTACAGTACGAATAGTCAACCGCAGTCCAACACATTCATACTATACAAGGCGTCTGGGATATCATTCACACATAGTACATCCATAAACAAACATAATGTAAAATATTCATTCAAAACAGCGGAAACGTTTGATACAAGTGTTCAAGACTTCATGCCACACTTGGCGAAACATGGGCATACAAGCCATCAAATAATTATTCAAAAGATAACATCCATGAGCATTAATTTAAATGATTTTAAAACAGGAACGGAGGAAGCACGAACCACGTCTTCTTCTCCTGAATTCTCTTGGAGCAACGGCGATGGTAGCAACCTTCAAGTTCTACCTGAAACTGTGAGGTGGCCTCCCCCGTGAAGGGGAGGTCAGTACTTGGAAGCATTTGACAAGTACAATGACAACTATACTAAGTATAATCAAAGTTTCAATTTCCAAGACCCTCAATCTAAGATGTTATTCATTTGAAATATATTTATGTTCCTTCATGCTAGAGCTCGGCTCATAGTCATGTTAATTTGTGCTAGAGCTCGGCTCATAGTCACACCACATTTCGCTAGAGCTCGGCTCATAGTCATTCCTACATTTTTGTGCTAGAGCTCGGCTCATAG